ATGCTGCCAGCAGAAAGCACATATGTTTGTGTTCAACAAGCAGCAGACTATGTTCATCATGAGGAACAGAACCTTAATAAATAAAATACAGATAAAAGGTTAATTAGAATATACCTTCTATGTTACTTTCTCTTACTAACGATACACCTTCAGTCAGTGTAGAAATATTTAAACATGCAAAAATAAAAAAGTTCCAATGAAGCTTAATCAGCTTATTTGTGGAATACTTCTTTATTACTATGACCATGTATTTCTATAAATGTTAGTAAATATAACTAGACAAAATGGCAAAATTGATCTTAGTCTATGTGAAAATTTCATATTCATGTATATCTGAAGCTAACAATTTAATAATTATAACACAAAAACATAATATCCTGTAATGGTTTTGCAACATTATCACAAACAATCATTTACATACATGTTAAAAGATTGAAATTAATAATAATACCAGAGGGGTGGTGGTGTTCATTAGAGCACATACCTCTATCATGCAGTGATTAGAGAAATTTTTTATTTCCCATAGTTCTCTCTAGGCATCCCACTTTTGTAATTTACTTACCACTCCTTTTGTGTTTTCTGTTTAAGTTTTGCTCCCATGTGAACCATATTGACTAGCTTTGCAGGATTTCTAATAACTGTTGTTGTGTAGTTAGAAAGCCAGAAAAATTGTGATAGTTATGGGACATTTTATTGTTTTTGCATATTATTATTCTGTGTTCTTTCAAGCATTATTCAATGAAATAAATTTTTAAAATAATACATATTATACATATGATTTTTATAACTTGAACACCAGAATCCATAATATTCTTATTATAAGAATCTATAATAATCATATATTCATAAAGTACATTTTTTATCCAATAATTGATCGCTTATAATTTCATCTGTTAATATAACATTTGTATTAAGTTCATCAAAGATGAACTTTGAATTCCTTTTTTTTATTTGTTTTAAGTGAATGTTACTTGTTGAGCCATGTATTGTCAATCCATAAGGTATAACAGATTTTGCTAATGATACATAAATTATTTTTTAAATGTTGATTGGTAAAATATTCTATATCCTCCATAACTTTGCTGTAATGGGTCTTCATTTATTGCAAATCATATTTATATCTTTAGACCAACAAAAAATATTATCTATAATTAGCCCTAAGTATGTCTTAGTATTAACTTAAACTTACAATCAGAATACTGCTTGTTTTCTGCAAATAAATGTTTGTATTTGGTAATACATCTTTGATCATGACTTTGTAAAATTTTTTTATTAATATTTGTATATTGTGAGTGAATTATCATACTTTTTGTTTTATCAGTATTCATATAAATTTCATTTATATTAAGCCAATACTTTAGTTTAATGAAATCATTTTGTAAAATTTCTTTACTAATTTCCACATCAACATGATTTATGGTTAAAGTTGTATCATTTGCATATTGCTATATTATACTTTTTAAACCTATGTTTACAATATCATTAACATATAAATTAAATGGCAGGGGACCCAAAATTAAACCTTGTGGAACACCATATTTTATTGTCATTGGATCACTCATTATTTCTCCAATTCTTGTTATTGTAACTCTATTACTCAAATAATTCAGAAACCAGTTATAATTTCCTTCTACTAATAATGATAATAATAGTGGTGGTAGTGATGATAATTTTTGAAGAAATTACTACTTATATTCTTGTAAATAATTAAGTTTGTTATGGTTGTAAGCATCAAGGGTTTTTTTGTTTTTTTGCACAGGTAAAAAACCATATATTATGGATCATTTTTCATTGGGCTTGCAACTTCCAACAATGTGATGCATCACTTTGAGTTGGCTGTTGAAGGACCAAACGGAAAGAAATCGGTGCAGCTCTTGATCGATGGTTCCAGAGTAAATCTAATATTCAAGTGACTTGTTGGTGACGACCTATCAACACAGTATGACAAGTCAGTTTTATTGGTTGATAGTTGTAGTGTACATGTGCTCCATGGCACTTTCAAGGTTGGTGCTGCTGCTTCAACATGGCCCATTCAGAAACTTTTGTTGAGTCTCTACAGATTATTCAAAGATTAACCAGCAAGAAGAGAGGACTATACATCAGTCACTGGATCAGATGTTTTCCTCTTAATTTTTGTTTCCATAGGTGGCTGGAAAATGTTCCCGTGGCAGAATGTGCTATACAGATATGGCCAAACATTGTCCAGTATGTTACAAAAGTGACGGGAAAAGAATTGACAAATCCTAAGACTAACTTGTATGATATTGTTGCTTTATGCATCAAAAATAAACTGATCATTCCAAAAATGTTGTCATTCACATCCATCGCTAAACTGATATCACCATTTTTGTCAACTTATCAAACTGATGGGCTTATGATGCCATTTGTTGTACAGGATATTTTCACCATGGTAGTGAACATACTGAAACGTTTCATGAAACTGAAAGTGTTGGACAATATTACTTATGTAAAGCTCCAAAGACTTGATTTACAGAACAAAGAGAACTATGGTTCTTGGATTTGCAGCAGAACAAGAGCTCAGTAAAATCCTTTCATCAACTCCAAAGGCCATCAGTCATATCAAATTCATGGAACTGAGAAATGAATGCCATAATTTTATGGTGAAGCTTGCTAGTGAGATACTGGAGAAATTCCCCCTTCAAGTATCCACTGGCCCGATATATCACAGGTATCAACCCCAAAACCATGGCAACATTAAGTCAGGACAGCATGACAAGGATGAAAAAAACTGCTTTTCTTTTCTTTGCTGTTAGAAGCTAGGAGAATGCCTGGAGGATTAACAGCCAGTGATAACGTATTGGCCCGGTTTGAATAACTAATTGATGTGTATGTAATGCACAATTGATCAGATTTTCCATCATTTTTGACACATAAAAAGAATGCAGATTGGATGAATTTTTGTCTAATATTTTGTCTAAAAATGTCCACTTCAGTAAAGTCTGGAGTGTTGTAAAAGGTTTGCTCCAAATTTCACATGGACAAGCAATGGTAGAAAGAGGATTTTCTCTCAACAAGGAAATTGAAGTGGAAAATTCACATTATGACCTGATGATGACAAAACCTTGTTGAAAAGTTGTGCATTTGCTGTTATGTTAAACCTACATTAAAGTTTTTTCATTACCCATTCAAGCCATCTCCAAGCATTATTAATCTCAAAGTGTGTTCCTTGTCATCGAATTTGAATTCATTATAATGTTTTTTTGTTTGTATTTAATTCATTATTGTTTTATAGTACTAATTTTAATTGCTTATGGACAATTGCTAGATTTAATAGCATTAGATTTATTGATTTATATATATATTAATATTCCCAATGTAACAAACAAATGGACCCATTCAAGAAACTAGTGTTGGTAAAAATCATTTTCTCATTTCACTTACACCTTGCTGTTTTTACTTGTTAATGATAGATTTTGTGTTGGTAAGAGTAACAGCTGAGTGGTTGTTGGTCAGTGACTCTGTAAATCTGTTAGTTTCAGGTCATACCTTTGGTATCTGTATAATATTGAAAAATATAAGTTTAAATGTATTTTTTAATGTTTGTTATTATCAGTGTAATTTTCCATGTTCATGACAGTTATAAAATTGTTACATAGTTTTATAACTTATTAATGGTGCCAGGCTTTATAAAGTAATGATATATATGGGAGAATTAACTGTTACTTTCCACTACTTTGAGCCAGATAGTACTTTTGTATTATTTCTGTGGTGCAAAGTTACTGTACTGTGTGTGGCATTAAACATTATTTTCATTTGATGTCAGCTTCATGTATTGTGCTACTGACCTCCTCACTTAGTTGAGCCCTGGTTTGAATCATTAAGGTGGTAAAATGACTGGCAAGCTTGGATTGCTGTCTAATTGATTATCCATTTGAAATCAATTCTTGTGGAATCCATCTGAGTTATTCTACCAACTTTTATCTAAATTAGTTCAGCCAGTTCCTCACAACAACATGTTGACTGTAGACAGACATCTGTGCTCGAATTATAGAGATTAACAAAATTATCATTCATTTCTTATTGATTGTTTTTTATTATTAATTTTTTAGTTGCCTCATGAAATATGGTTGAAGCCTAACTTTAAAAAAAAAATTGCATTAAGTTACAAATTCAATATATTGTTCAGTGTAAAAAGTTATTATTTGTCAGTCTATAACCTAGGTGTTGGTTTTTTTTTCTCCTTTCAACACATGGGATGAGTGGTTTACCATTGCAGAGAGTGTCTTAATATTTTGTGCACAAATCTTTAAAATTAAATTTTAAAAATATTAATATTAAAATTAACTTTTTTTAGGTGTCTCAAACACATGGTTAAATTTATGTTCTTCTTAAATGTTGCTGAAAGGATGGCAATAAACATTCAGGGTATTATAAAGCTAAACAACATGTTTGAATTTCTTTATTGTAATATAAAGGAGATATTTTTGTTTTCATGTACACAAAAGTAACCAAAATTTGTTACAAGTCAATTCAGATATGATCTGCAGGTAGGATTTTTAGAACAATGAGGTGCAAGAGATTAGTATGTAATTGAAAGACACCTCATAAACTGGTATAATAATTGAATATATTTCAGTATAGTGTAAGACATTTTGTGTTTTTCCGACTCTCTATCATATAAATGGTAAATTACTGTGTTAGTTCCAAATTAGTTTTAAAACAATTGAATTTAAACTGCTTATAAAATTGTTTTTAATTAAGTTAATTTATTATATTTTAACTTGACATGAAAGTTCTTAGGAAGTAATTAATCTCTATTATGTTTATCTTGTTCTCTCTCTTCAAGATTTTATATTTTTATATCTAAGTTCTATATTTAAAGGAAAATATCTTGTGTAGAATTGATTAATTTTTTATGTTTTATCAAATTATTAAAAAATGGAGAAAATTTTATTATTTTCATTTAAAATATTTTAAAATTGTGGAAGATTTTAAGTCACAGTACAGTAAAAGATGAAACATTTTCTTTTCATGTATAGGTGGCATGAGTTATGGAGTGGCTCACCACAATACATGAAGCCAGAAGCACGGTTATTTTCTCCAAATATTAGCAATGCAAATTTCTTGACAAAGTTAGTGAATTTTTTAACTTTGGTAATTTGTTTAAATTATTTTCTTTCTTCTCATGAATCAAAAATATAAATATTAGCTTCTTTTTATAAAGTTTGGCTTGGTTAGACAAATTGTTTCTCATTATTTCTTTAGTTACCACATAATCCATACTTTATGTTATGGGGAAAATATTCCTTGTATTTTACTTTAAATGTAAATAAATTAATATAAATTATTTGTATTCCTTGTATTTTACTTTAAATGTAAATAAATTAATATAAATTATTTGTATAACCTAAGAGTGCACTGTTACCAATGAAGCTTAAACAAATTCTTGAAAGGCTGTTTTAAAATAATCTGTGATTGATATGTTGTTTGTGTTTTTGTATATGAGTGAATATGTTCATTGGAATAAAATGTTAATACATTTTATTCTATTTTTTTGTTTTGTCTTCAGTCATCTTTGTGTTGAGTTCTTCCACAAACATTTGAGTTACTATTCAGAAATTGATGCCATTTTATTGGTTGGGACCAAAAGAAATGTGTTTTCTAGCTTTACTAGTGGTAGAAAACTTGAAGTAGATAATGTTCTGACCAGCTTTGATCTGTGGACACTCCAATCATCAGTACAAGCTTCTGAAAGTCTTCTCAGAGGCAATGGCTATTTTGACTTGATACCAGTAAGTATGTAGGAGTATTATTACTGAATTTATATTTTGATTTCTTAAAGTTTAGACACATAAGATAAGTGAGCCATTGGAAAAAGCTATTTTTCTTTTCCTAGTAAATAATTGCTTAAAATATTGCAATATATTAACATGAAGTTTAAAATTTTTTAAGTATCAATAGCTATTAACTTAAATTTTGAGGTATTAGATGTTTTAGCAACTGAAAATATTTTAGTTTTCACTGAATGCAACTTAGAGTGTATAATGACAGAGATTGTAAGAATTATAATAATATGACTACTCACATACAAAATATTTTAAACCCAAACATTTCACTATGCCAGCTTTATCAAGGGATAAATGTATAATACCAACATAGTTTGAACTGAAAACAATGTGCAGAACAGAAAAGCAGATTTAAATAATACAGAAAGAAAACAATATATTGTATCCTCTGTCACTCCTTGAGGCAACAATACTGAATGTCCATGACCTAAAACAATGAGGAAAAGATTAAAATCTAAAAACTATAAATGTATGCAAAGAAGAGAGAGAAAAAATTATACATTAATTATGTTTATGCAAATTTTTCAGTAATTGGTTCTAGTCATGAATTAAACGTGTTTCTCATAAAAAATGATATAATACATTCTGTAAATCAATGGCTAAGTCAGAATTATATGCAAAAATAAAAGGTCATTTTAGCATATTCTTTATATGATCTTTGGTTTGTGTAACCATTTTGAACACACAAGCATGATAGTTTTTAAAGTAGTTATCCTTGTAATTTGTTTATCTTGACCAGTAGAACGTGCTAGTCAATTATTTTAGTTTAGTTTAATCATTGTGAAATAATGATTTCTTATATATATGACAATCAAAATTTGTTTTTATGCATATACTAGCTGAGGATACCCATTAAGGAAGGAAAATGGTATAAAGCACAATGTTAGATAATGTTCCCTTTATTTCTTTTTTTTCTGACCCCATTAGATGCTAATTGGGTACCCAGCTTCAAAGTTTAAAGTGTATAAAAAGAGGAAATGTGCCATATTTCCGTGTTTTTTTTTCCCATGTACGCCATTGGACAGTTTTTCAGTTACCCTACAAAACATTATGGTAATAAGGCAGTGAACTCTGGAAGCTAACAGTGTAGGAAAAAGTGGAAATTTGCCCTTTTCTCAAAGGTATTTTTTTTATCTCCCTTTACTGGTAATGATCCTAAAACAAAATAGCCCATGTAACCAAGCCAGCCAACTCTGGGTGACAGAAACTGGAAGCCTATTAAAAAAAAGAAAAATAATAGGGGGATTTGCCCTTTTTCTGGGGGGCTTCTCCTCAAGCAAAAATGTTAGAAACATATTCCATGCACACTGTCAGATAGTTTCCAGTTACCATACAAAACTCTAGGTGATAAATGATAATACACACAAACATAATGGGCTGTCATTTAGTAATATATACTACTGAAACTACCCGGCTTCGCTCGGGTTATCAGTTTGATAGTATGTGTATTCTGAAACCATTTTAGCATAAAAGTATAACCTATATACTTTTGTTGTTAAGCAACATGACATAAAAGTCAATATTGGAATGCATTGTTACCAAAATGCACTGGTGTTTCTATATATTAGAAGTTGTTATATAAGGAACCACTTCCTTTCTATGTGTTTTTTTGCTAGCTTGCCTCATTAAAAAGACATACATGCACGCACACATGTGGATAAGTAACACAAATTGCACATTCTCAGGGTCCACATGGTATGGGGGCAAAATTTCAGGTTTCTAGGTTCTTTCCTCTTGAAGCTATGGTGGTCACACATAAACAGACACACGTGTGCACATGCATGCACGCACCTGCATGTCTGTCTGTGATTGCTGTTTGTAATATGAGGAACTACTTCTTTTCTATGTGGTTTTTCACTAGATTGCCTCATTAAAAAGATGCACAGGTGCACACATACATGGATAATGTGTGTAATATTACCCAGGGGCACACCTTCAGGGTCCTCTTAGTATGAGTGGAAAATTTCAGGTTTCTAGGTTCTTTCTACTTGGAGCTATGGTAGTCTACAGACCCACCCTTTTATTTTATATATCTATATAACCCAGCTCTTGTATCAATAAACTATTGTAAAATTTATTCAAGACTGATCTAGTTGTTACCTCCACCACTGAATGTGATGGAGGTTATGTTATCACCCCTGTGTGTGTGTGTGTTTTTCAGCAATCAGCAGGATTTCTCAAAAACAGCTGAATGGATTTGGATAAAAGTTGATATACATTTGGACTATGATCCTAATTAGAAGTGATTAATTTTTGGAGGGTCAAGATCACAACAAGGTTATGAAAATCCAAAAAATGGGGATTTTTCACACAATGTTTGTTGTATAACTCAATAAAAAAATTATTGGATTTTGATGAAACTTGGTGAAAATATGTAGAATGTTATTCCTCATTGTCCTGCCAAAATGGTCTGTGTCCATTGATAATGATGGGCATACAGACATATTTTCTTATTTTTTGAGAGCTGAATATGATCATCGATGCCTGGTGGAGGTATGCGCTCTACTGGGTGCCCCTCTAGTTTCAAATGCAAGATAGGATTACATTAATATAACCTTATACAAATTTTGAACATGTTTTTAAATTTCTTCAATTTTTCGTCTCCACTACTGCTAAAAGCTCAATCCATAAGTCAGTCACCTTGTTAGGAAAATAAAACTGTCTTACCTGGAGCCAAACCTACCTTTTCCGGTTCATAGACTTCTGTCCTCTTGTTGTATTATCTTTAGAACATAGACAAAGAAATGAAAGTTCTTTATCGTATTAGTCACCTTGTAAATTTTTGAAATGAATACTTACCTCCATACGCAGATGGTTGTGTCCTCTTGAGTTCACACATTCTAACTGAGAGATTTGCATGCAACCCCAACCTTGTGAAAACTCCCACTTAATTCCATGTGCGTCCATGTATATTTGTGCTACTACATAATGACGTATCATGCAGCACACTCTCCACCAATAGGGGTGCAACACACCTCCATGCCCATATTCTCCCTCTACATTCGCATGCAATAATATTTATTCTTTCCCTTGGCACAGTTGTATTCATACACTTAGAAAAGAAATGTGACCACCATAGCTCCAAGAAGAAAGAAAGTAGAAGCCTGAAATTTTGCATCCATGCTAGTGGACCTCAAGGGTCTGCACCTAGGTATTATTATTTATCTTATCCATATGCATGCACGCATGTGCCTTTTTTGAATGAGGCAAGCTAGAGAAAAACCATATAGAAAACAAGTGGTTCCTTATGTTAGAAATAGAAATCACAGACAGACATACACAAACGTATTTGCATATCTGTGTATGTGTGACTGTTGTAGATCTAAGAGGAAAGAACCTAGAGAACTGAAATTTTGCACCCATACTAAGTGGACCCTGAGAGTGTGCACCTGGTTATTATTACTTATCTTACACATATGTGTCCGCATCTTTTTTAATGAGGCAAGCTAGCGAAAACCCACATAGAAAGGAAATGGTTTCTTATATTACAAATTGTAGATATAAATTACAGACAGACACACATGTGCGAGCATCCGCATCTTTTTAATGAGGCAATCGGGTGAAAAATCACATAGAAGGTAAGTGGTTCCTTACATAACAACTTGTAATATATAGAAAAGCCAGTGTGTTTTGGTAACATTGCATTCCAACAATGTCTTTTATATCATGTTGCCTAGCAATAAAAGTAAGTATAACCTAATATTGTTGTTAAAAGACTATTTGCTGAAAGTATAAAATGAAATGTATAAACTACAAGATTGAAAAAAATATTTATTGCTTTCTAATTTAGAGCCTCCGTTAATTAAAGGGGTTTGTTTTTATTGTTTTTATTATTTAAGTTTAAAATCAGAGGATAAGCTAAATAGAAGGTTACCTTTATAAACAGGCCACAGACTGTAAAGGAGCAACAATAGTATATAGGTTATACTTTTATGCTAAAATGGGCTCAGAATACACACACTGACATAGTCATATAGAATTAATCAACCAAATAACCTGAGTGAAGCCGGGTACTTTAGCTAGTTATTAATATCATTATTTGTTTTACTTTATCTAAACTAAAAACTTTTCAATTTTTACATTTTAGTTACTTTCATAATAATAAATAAAGAATACACATGAAAGACACAAAATAAGGAACTTACCTGGGTCTTTTTTTTTTTTTTGCTATTGACTGTCAATAAAATGTAACCCTACTTTTTTATATTAATTGTACTACTATAGTAAATAATTTCTGTTGAATTAAATAATGAACCAAAGAACGCAGAGTAGTAACATGCAAAAAGGAAACTATATTCCATAATTATTTTCCTGGCTTTCTAACTGTGCAACAATTAACCACTATAGGTGTTGTATGGTAGGCATAATAAAATATAAACAGAAATAAGACAAGAAGACGTCATATGACACACAAAAAAGCATAATTGGCAATTTTATTTAAATATTTTGTGTCGAATTAAGAAATTAAAACTTATAAACTATGTTATGATGACAATTTTATTGACATATGATAATAAAGTTGCTTGATTAAATTTTGAAAATAAATCTAAAACATTGTATTATGCATCCTTTGACCTGTCCATTGTGAGAGGGTTAAATATTGGTAAAGTGAATTATACCTTTGCTAAGGCTTTAAATAACTAATATTAATCATTTAGTATGATTTATCCCAATAGACTGCTACATAGTTTATTAAAGTTTGTGAAAAATTAAATGTAAATAATAAATGTATAGACATAAAATAACATCATAAATAATAGCATCATAAAAAAAAACATTTATTTGATGAACAACTTGGAAATGGATTTGGTCAAGGAAAATAAAGTTTATACTTGTAAGAGGCACAGAAATAGTGTTAAAATGCAGAAGATGTAATTGATTTCATATGGAAGTGAATATTTAAAAATGAACTAAACAGTTGTATTTTTGGTAAACATTTTGGATGTGTTATTTTCAGACAGAAGTTCTACACCTTATTTTCAGTTACTTGGATTTGATTTCCATTTGTAAAGCAGCTCGTGTCTCTAGGTAAGAAACAGGATAGTGATTTAGACTTTATAATAACAATAAAGATCATGATCAATTTTTTGAAATCAAAGATAGAAAATCTTATCATAAAAGTATTGCAAAGAATGTCATCTTGTTGGCATTTACAACTTTTATGATGGTGCATGAACTTTGTATTTTGTACTGGAGAAATATAATTACACTTTCTTGTTCAGTTAATGAAAAGCATAATAAACACATATCAACATGGAAAAATGTTTTACTATAGTCTTGACTATTTTGCTTTTATGTACTACATATGTGTATGATAGAAAAATTCCAGAATACATCAGAGATTATTTTTTTATGGATTCAACAGCAGTCTTTTCAAGGCTTTTGCATGGCCTTGCAATTTTCAAGCTGCAAGTCAGTGTGTAAATGGAAATAATAGTTCATTTGAGAATAATTCTGCTTGCTTTATTGACAAATGTAATGAATTTCTATGGGATAAATTTGTACATCTTCAAGATCAGTGATGTATTTCTTTGAAGTTTGATATCATGGTAACAGATTTAATATCTGATTAACTTTTCCAAATAAAACAAAAGCTGTTTTCATTATTTTCAGGCAGGTAAATATTGTGACCATTTTCATATAGCAAACAGTACTTGCTGATGTTCTCTATACTTTATTTTAAGGTACATGGTAGAAGGAAAAATAAAAATAGCAGGTTTGTACTTATTTTTCGTCTTATACTCATGCTTATTCAAAGATTATTCATTTATATTAGCATGTTGTATCATAAATCAATGTTAATATCTGTATATGTGTCATAGGTTATTTAAAACTGTTTATTCATTCATAGACTATGTAGGGAAGAAGTCACAGTTCCATCTCATATATATATATATATATGTATTCACAACAATTCCAGTGTTTTTTAAAAATAGAAAATAAAAAATGGTTCATTACAAATATCAAATGTAAGGATGCAAGTGTTACTAAAAGCATATACACAAGAAGATAATATGGCTTATGTGTTTAGCACTTGGTTTGAACATGAGTATGTGAAAGTTGACTCTAACTTAAGCAGTTTTGCAAATAGTATTAAGTACCATGTATATTTTGATAAAGAATTAAATGTTTTACAGGTCATTTTTTTTATGCACAAAACTATAATTCAAATATTCCGAGAGCCTCCAGAACTTTATAAAAGCCATGATTGAATTTCCATTGTCATTTCCATACATATGTTTGGGATACACCTTCTTTGTGAATAATTCTATGAATGTAATACAATAGAATTAATCTGCTAGCATATTTTATATCTCATTTTGTTTGGAAAATTATAATGTTTGGAATACAATGCTTTTTTGGCAAATTAATTGATACTTATCAAAAAAAGTTTAAATAAGAAACAGATCAGATAACAGTTTATCATTATAAATAAATACCTGTCAATAATTTTTATAAATGTAATAGAAATCATGGGAGTAGTAATACATAACGCATTATGAACATTGTAAATGTACTTTTACTAATTGTTGCTAGATGGCAGGTAGTACATGATAATCTTATCATAATTATTAAATTTATTTTCTCAGTAACTCACTAGAAGGCGTGAACATGTTTTGTATATACATCCATTGCCAAGTGTGGCATTTATATGAAAGAAAAATGGAAAGCAGTCAAGAATAAAGGTAATCTAAGTGAAGATTACATACACATATCATTGTAATTAAGCTAGTATGTATCTTGGCTTCATGTGATAATTGTTATTCCTGCAACACAAAACAAATCTCACAGAAATCTTTGTTTTGAATCAGTATTATTTTTGAGTTGCATGTTTCCTTTTTATTTCTAGTAATGAGCTGAATTTAGAATCCTTGAGTTCAAGCAATGTCATGGAACTACCTTTCATCACAGAAGAAGAAAAACCTAATCCAAACAATGACACTGGACTTCGTTCACTTTATGGCATTTGAAGTTCATAGGTAGATATTATCTTTCATATTATGAAACAAACTTCTTATAATGGTGTGTAGTAGTAGTTCTTTTTTGGGCTATCTACATTTTGTCTACCATGGGAAATTGAACCCTGGATTTTAGTGTTGTAAGGCTGTAAACATACTGATGTCCCACAAGAGGACATTGTTTTTTAAAGGAGATTATTTATTATTTTTAATATTATGATTCTTTTCCTTTTAATATAATAAGTTGATGCTGATATAAAGAGATCTTGTTTTTTTATTAGGTGTAAGACAAGTACATGTAGCTGGCTACAATTTTCTTCGGAATCCAAAGAAGGTCTCAAGTCGACTTTCAAGTTTGTTTGTGACTTGTGCTTTGAAACTGTTAAAATAGGATTAGAACCAGAAGAACATGTGGATGTGGAAGACCTTGATAAATTAGATGTAAATGATTCTGCAGTTTGGGGTGTTGTTAGTGGTGGTGGAAGGCATGCTCATTTGGATGGAATTTTCTCAATTTTAGGAGTTCCAGTCATGTCTCTGAACATATTTATCAGATACAAGAAGAAAGTCAGAAAGGTATTTTAAATAATAATAACATATGATCTAAAATGCAAAAAATTATTAATGTAGTTTGTGGTATACCAAAATTTTATACTTTTTTTTCCTTTCACTCTGAAAATTATGTATGGTAAAAATAGTAATTTCACATTACACTTTTTCATATCTTTAACCCTTTGGGTATGTAATTAAATTTTGGGTGGGTTGTTGAAAAGTGTCAATTATCCACTAAAAAATGCAATTTAGAATGTGGCATTTTTTAGTACTTTTTCAATATCAAAATCCACTAGTTATGATTTTGTTTGGTGATGTACGCACATGCATTACTAAGGTGAGAAATTCAAGGACATGTGAGTATCCCGATTGTTGCACTATGAGAAAATGTTTTTGTGACACCATGGGGTAAATCCACTTGTTGCACCAAACAGCTATGAATGTGAAGTCGGATAAATGCAATTATAGCAGTCAAAGGGTTAAAAGAGTTTTTTTTTGTTGTTGAATAATATTACATTTCAACAGATTCAAATCTGCAAGTATCAAGTAAGTGACAATAGACATCAATATTTCATTGTCATAAAGTTATAATAAAAATTACATCTAACTTTATATTCTGTTTGTTTTAGATGTGGGAAAGCAAATGTTTTGAACAGTAAAGGATGCTGGAGTAAAATAAAAGAAGTAGAGAAAGAAGCAGGAGATACTGATAGTGATGGCACAGCATTTATTATTTATGCTGATGATGGCTGGTCCCAGTGCAGTTATGGGAAAAAAATACACTGCAAAGTATGGTTCTGCTGCTATAATTGGTTTCTGTAAAAGAAAATTATTATACTTTGGTGTGAGGAACAAGTTTTGTAGCACTTGCTTATGTAATACATGAGTAGCTATCACTAAAGAGCATAATTGCTGAGAAACTGGAATGGACCTTCCACACAAATGGAATCCTGGTATTATAGTGGAAGGATTTTGGAACAGTGAAGACATGCATGGCCTACTTTGTAGGAAAATAATAGAAGATGGAGAGTCTAATGTGTATAAAACAATTATAGAGAAGTGTAGTTATGGTAGACAGGTAGAGAAAGTGGAATATGGCAATCATACTGTTAAATGCTACATCAAATTACTTTAAGAAATTTCAAAATGCAATACTGAAAATGGACAATTTCTAAGCAGGCCTAGAATATAAAGGTTCAAGAACTGTGTCAGAGGAAGTACCAGAAGAAATGCAAAGGAAGAGAATAAATCTGAACAGTTGAAACAGCAGCTAAGAAATGACCCATACCATGTGTTTGTTAACCATACCAAATGTCATCCAATGCTTTGTGAAAATGCCAGGTCTTCAAGTCTTAGTATCTCTTCAAAATTCCACATCTCACACTCACAAAGATCATGAATGTTATAGATACCTGCTCAGGAGAGCAGATAGCCTAGTTTCTGACAACACTACCAAATGTGAAGAAAGTTACATGCAATTGGTTACTAAGATATCAGGCTGGAAGCAGTTCAACTGATCCCAGTCTAGCTCTTAGCATCATTGCTGTCAAAGAGCTGGATTATCATATCAGTATGGACCAGAGTGGCACCAGAAAGTGTGTTAAAATACATTAAAAAGTCCTTCTGCTGTTGTCAAGAGATATGTTGAAAGATGAAAAAATTACTGCATGCAGAAAATGACTACCCCCATGTAAAGAAAGAAGGTGTCTGAAAAATATTAGGACAGGTTGAGGACCATTTTTTCCAGAATTGTCTTCATTTGGAAATTATTGACCCCTGACTTTCATATAATAGGAAAATACAAGATCAGAAATAAATCCAACAAGCAATTCAAAAGTGAAAAGTGCTATCAGAAGATAAGGGGATAAAATGGAATACAAAGTATAGTTTGTCATAAATAATGCTTTTAGAAGCTATATAGTTGATATAATAAGATAATTGTTTGTGAATAGATCTGTACTCCTGTGTAGACTTAACAAAATTCAAGTAAAATGTACAAATTTTAACTGTGCTGTTTTTTATCCCAAGTCAGAAAACTAACTTTGGTTTATTAATGCTGTTAATTTTTTTTACAACAGTGACAGATTATTATGGGATGAATTTTTTGTAGTTTCAAGTTATTAAGGTGTTAGTGATGACTGGCTTGTACTTTGGGGTGATCATATATCTGAAAAACATACTGTAGTTAGTTAATTAATTAATTACAAGTTGTTAGAAAATTTTTCTGTTATAAAAACAGGATAATACACAATAACTAAGACTAGTTTATTTTCTTGTGTTGTATAGAACTATTTTGATACTTTTATGGTGGCTTTACATGTGTAATAAATCATTTTTATCATTTGTTTTAGCCTGTTTCTAAAGAATATTACAATGGAGAAAACTTACACTACATGTATGGACACATCATAGCTTACAAAAATACAAGACCCACAATACTAAATTCAAAGGTGAAAAGCACTGTTAGAAGATCTGGGGATAAAAGGAAAAAAATATAGTTTTGTTATAAAGAACATTTTTAGCAAGTATATAGTGTACTTCAATAAAATGATTGTTTCTGAATTAACCTTTGTTGTGATGTAGATGTAATTAATCCAACACATATAACAAACATGGAATATCACAGGCACTTAAAAAAGTTCAGAAAGGTGATGAATTAAACAATTCTGTTTGCATATATTCTGGAATTGCTTTAAAATCTACAGTGCTGACAAGATATTTTTTAAATAAAAATATAGGCAAAACAACGTTTACATTACACAAAATTAAAAAATAATTAATAATGACTCTACATGTTTTGATAGCTTCTGCTACCATCATCACAAGTAAAAACTCTACATGAAAAGCGGGTTTTTATATAAGAATGGTTGGACTCACTGTAATTCAGTGGGTTGACATGAATACTGCACATATGAAGTCAATGCTTTCTTCCAAAATTCAGCACTATTGCCAGCCAATTATTCATGTCTTTTTAACAAATGATTATTTAATTTACATTTACAACACAAAATTTCAATACATTTTCTGATATTAAACTCATTTACTGTATTGGGTTCATTTAAAATTATTGTTTTATGCCACTGTATTGAGTGACCTGTTTCTGCAATGTGTTAGGCCATTTTAGAAATTAACATATTTTTATTACGTACATAACCTTTATGTTCATTAATGTAGTATTTCAAATTATGTTTGGTCAATATTTTTGTTACATTCACATTTAATTTGATATATTCTACAAAAAAAAGGTATATCAAATGAAATGTGTAGAAAATGTTGTTGTCAGATTTATTTCTATATAGATTTTCATTAAAGTATTTGGAAGTACATATAAATAATTACATAACTGAAGTTTGATAATACAAAATGCTGGTAAGCAATGTATAGTAAAGTAGTGATATCCGAGCTTCTTTTACAATGTTAATCAGGAAAATACTACACGTTAAAAAACCAGTGATGATACATAATAAACTTAATGTTTCAATCAGATTGTAGTTGTAAAAAAACATTCATTTATAATCTCAGCAAACCATGTTTTTCTAATCACCTAAACATTACTTGAAAATGTAATAGGCCTGCAATTTCAATATATTAAAATCATAGAAGTCTGTAAAGAGTAAGACAATAAATATTAACTGCAATATTTGTTAGAACTAAAGTCAGTATTGTCAGTGTTTGTTTTAACATGAATAACTAAATACCAAAGCCTCACATGTTGGTTGATGCAATATTTGTTAGAACTAAAGTCAGTATTGTCAGTGTTTGTTTTAACATGAATAACTAAATACCAAAGCCTCACATGTTGGTTGATGTGTCGTTCTGGTAATTATTGGCCGTTTTGACAGTACATTGTTTTTCTATGAACACTCTAAAATGTTGGAATCAAACAAAAGGTTATGGAGCGACATCACTGTTCTCCAAGTTGTAAATCGCATACACTATAGTCCAGGGCCATAGATATACCAGCTACACTGACCTCGTGAACTATATATAAAACCTTCCAAATCCACTTGAAATCAAGATCAGCATGTAACACACCATATTGCTTACATTTACTACTTTTATAGCAGTATTTTCAAAAGTAATCAAACACCCAGTGAACTATTCAGTTACAAAATAAAGAAAGAGACAGTGATGTAAGGCTAAACCTTGCACTGTCACAGTATAGTGATGCGTAAAACATGACACATGAACAAGCATAACCACTGGTGAAGTTAAGTTAACATTGTGTTTGGGTTGTTCCCTTTCTCAGTAAAACACTCAGATATGAACAGCATAACTCAGTAAAATATTTGAGGTATCCTCCAAGGTAAAATACACTGAACTAGCAAACATGGATAATCATTGTTTGTATTCCAAAACATTCATGGCAGAAATGTGTTTGTTTCCTCTAAATAACAACTTCACTGTATGCCAACTAGAGTTCAGTGTTAACCATCTCTAATGTATCAACTAATGGTCAGTTCATATGT